TTCTGTTTGTGGATTTTTATTATTTTTATTTATTTATTTTTAAGCAAATGTATTTATTGTTCATTTGCTCTATAACAAGTAAACTGGCCTTAAAAATATCTGTAGCCATTTGAAATTAGAGGCAACCACTGCATTTTAATCAGGGTGCGAATTACACATTGACCTAATTAGCATGATTTTATTGTGTATTTTTTATGTTGTAAAAATGTTTTAATCTAATTAATTACACAATGTGCTGATTAATTAATCGAATAAATTTCAAAGAATTTGATTAATTAATTAACATGTCATGTGCCGATTAAAGTCATTATTAAAGATCATTTAAAGTCATTATTGTGTTAAATTAGAAAAGCACTGAATAGACATTGCAAAAAAAGGTAGCTTAAGAAAGATATTTTGATTCAACATACAAAAAGCACAAATATACTGTATTATATATTATAATGTACGACTCTAAATATAAAACTAAAAGAGCCAGTAGGTGGCGGCAAATCACTGTTTTAATGAGTGAGCCATTCAGTCATTCATTCAACCGATTCGTTCAAAGCTGTGGATTTATTCAGTAATGAAACACCGCTGTATTGAGACCATGGACATAGTGTCCGTGACATCACCCGTAGGTTTCTAAAGAGCAGTTTTGAAGCTCAAAGTGGGCGGAGCCGGCCGTCAGCGCGTCACCCCGCGTCACTCCCGGATAATCGAAAATGGGTTGTATTTTTTAAATAGTTGTATTTATAAATGGCTCACTGAATCATTAGCTCAATCGATTCGTTCAAAGCTGTGGATTTATTCAGTAATGAAACACCGCTGTATTGAGACCATGGACATAGTGTCCGTGACATCACCCGTAGGTTGATGTCACGGACACTACACTATCCGTCAGCGCGTCACCCCGCGTCACTCCCGGATAATCGAAAATGGGTAAAGAGGCCGGAGCTGGTTGCTGAAACCACGCCCGCAGAACTTTAAGGCTTAATATAATTTAAACGGATGAGTTATAAAAGAAATTCACTTCCCTCACAGTTGACATGAAGGGCAAAATTAGCTATATAGACCAAAATAATTTTTTGAACCAGGCTGTAAACATGTTTTTTTCTGCTGTAAATTTGGGCATTTTAACATGGGGAGTCTATGGGATTGACTCCCTTTTGCAGCCAGCCTCTAGCGGCCAGTTGACGAATTACAGTTTAAGTCACTTCCGTGTTGGTTTCAGAGAGAGAGCGGGAGGTTGCCGCTTGGTTGAGACGCACAACAGTTCTGCTTTCGTTGGTGAACTTGCACAAAAACAGACAATATTGACAATATTGTGTCTAAAATGTAACACAATATCAAATTGTTGTTTATTGAAAAATCAATATCACATTTGCAATCGTGCAGAAATCGCACTCTTGCTCGAGTCAAACCTTAAATTCGTTAAAGTACCCCCCCCCCCATATTATTTGCACCTTTACCTTAAGTAGGCTAATATGAAAATATTCTGAAAGAAAACAAGCGGTGTTTGTTATAGTAACACATGCAACTTTAACGCGCATCTAGTTTAAATTATAATTATTACCGTTTAATTACAAATGAGTCAGAGCTGCATCTTTATATTTACAAGTAAATCTCCAAATCTCCTCTACTTTCTATCCAACACCCCCTACATTTTGTTTTGACGTCCATCAGGGAGGATCAAATAGATACAGAAAGATAGGTACAAAAAATACAGACTGGAGAAATGTATATTTGTACTTATTTTTCTGTTATTGTCTACCAGTCGATATGATTACACCAGGCTTCTCAAAGGTAATCATGAATTAGTGCTGCGAGGAATCCATTCACCAACTCAGCCAGTATCTGCAGTCCTTGATTCCAAACTGCTGAGACAAGTAGCCTACGTGTGTGAGATTGATTGGTAACTGGCGGAAAGTATACTGATTTATTTAGTTTATGCGCAGTCTCCTACAAAAATGGCTGTTTATTGCTTGTTATGGTGTATTCCTGTCCATTTTGCCCTTGCAGTTTCTCCTATCATTTTGTAGCTACTCCCAGTGCTTCCCCAAACTAATTCTGTTTGTGTCTCATTTTCTTTTTTTCCCTATAAATAGACTGATGTGTTCATTGGTTAAGATGTTGGAAAAGGGGGGATGGTGGGCAGAAAATCCTGCAGCCCCTATAGCTTCATACACAACACACAACATTATTGAAATGCTGCTAAACCAGTTTTATCTGACATATTCAGCATACAGTAGGAGCTTAGGTTATGGAAATGAAGGAGCTTATCTCTATCTATCTATCTATCTATCTATCTATCTATCTATCTATCTATCTATCTATCTATCTATCTATCCATCTATCTATCTATGTGGTTTGGGCAAGCATAATAATGAACGATATATTTTTAAGTACTTCTGAAGAGTACATTCATGTACGGACACAAATGTGAATATTAGCCTTTACAAAACTGACTGACTGAAAATTTCATAAGCCTTCCATATCTTTTTCTAAACGCCTCCAGTCATTGTTGATCACTGTTAATATGCTTTAGGAAACTTTGATGCCATTTTCTGCTCGTAGAAGCGTACGAGCGCATAGGATTTGTGAACATTTGAATTAATTTCCATAATCCTGCTGTGATGCTCCTAGAAAACGGATCTGAATGCACTCGACTGCTGACGCTGTTTTTAAACGCGCTATATGGTGCCGCCTATTGGTAAGTGTATGAACTGCAGGCTTCAGCAGTTAAAAACTGCCGTCTTTGTCGGGATACTTCCAGTCATTCGCATAGGAGTAGAGGAGTGCTTCAAAGACAGGATACTTGTTTCTTTGGGAAAAAAAACTGAAGGGAGAGAAAACGATAGATATGGCGAATAAAGCACCAGAGCCCCTTCCATTGCACATGGCCGAACTCACTGCTACCCAGTTCCTCGAAATCTGGAATAAATTCGATACCGACGGTGAGTGTAACGGAGTGAGTCCCGGGACGAAAAGCGTTCTTAGTTTAGTCGTAGCCTACAACGGAGGCTATTACCTTATCCAGACTGATTGTATTGCATTTGATTTATGTCTACTATTAATTACATTTTAATGTACATTAAATTTTAAAGTGGGCTACAAAAGCAAATAATAAGGATAACTGTAAAAAAAATATAAGCAATAACCTAATAGGCTACATCAATAAAATACAAGCTGTTTATGGAAAGAGTCACTCAGTGTTCCAACACTTTTTGTAGTGATAGAGAAATAGCCTACTGTAGCCTATCTGCTGTATTCTTGTCAATAATTACACTTTTTAAAAGAGAGGCATGGATTATTATTATTATGACTATGATTAATGATATTTTACTCGTTTCATTTCTTGTCTGGATTGAGTGATAAACTCGAGCATTTACGACATGATATATCTTTGCGGTAGCCTACCGCACATGCATGCATATGTTTTTATTTTTATGTCGGTTTCCTATAAGTTCATTGAGTTACACGTTTAAAAAAAATTGGAATAAAGTGAATGCAATTATGTATAATGCAAGTGGAATCCTCATGCATTGTGCAATGCCGTTTTACGCAGAAGCGTATTTTGAAAAAGCGCCAGTGGGATGATTGCCTGCTATTGCCCTGTTAACTGCTTTCAGCGTTAGGCACGCGTTTGCACAGCTCAGTCAATTTAGCCTCACAGGCATTGTTGGCATTATTGATTCCGCTCTGGATGGAATCTTTCCTTCCAATTGATTTATGTGTCAGCGTTTGAGAGACTATGAAGATGAAAAGTTGTGGGCGGGGTTTAGAGAGCCGGTCCTGCTTGAAAAAATACTTCTTAAACCAGCCTAAAATGGTTTGCTGTTTTTAGTTGGTTTAAGCTGGTCTTAAATCGTTTTAGCTGGCCTCGCAGTCTGGTCTTCGTCTGATCAAATTGGTCTCCCATCTCTGCGAAGCTGGCATTCAGCTGGATTAACTGGTCAGTCCGTTGGCCTCCCAAATGCAGGACTAGGCTGATATTTTCTAATGTCAATACAATTTCTGGTTTTAAATATTTTTTTAACATAAAGTGACACTTCTCTTGAACTATATGTGAAAACAAATTGTTCTTAATTGTGCTGTTTTACATGCCAGTCATATTTGTTTGGCTTTCAGGATCCTTCAAATGCTTCGTTCAAAGACAGGATGAAAGAGTTTATGCAAAAATTCGATGAGAACGGTGATGGGAAGATTGAGATGTCAGAGGTAAATTTCACCGCTTTTCACTGCTAAAGTAAGCCACAGCAATAGTTTGAAGCTATGAAGAGAGAATGTATTGCAGAACCACTGTCTGAGATTCATGGAATACCAGGAAGACATATAAAGAGGACAATGAGGGCAGATTAGGGGCTTGAAGGTTGCATCTATCGAGGGGAGGATGGAATGAGATGAGGGAGAGATGGATGAAGGGGGAGGGAGAGGATGGAGGTGACGTCTATCATGATGACACAAATGAATGGATAAAATGATTTATGTTGGTATAAAAAAACTCACTAATCCAGTCATAGAGACCACATGAACATATGAGCGCCTTCCTTCCTCCAATTAATGTCAACCTGCTCTAGTTATGATGCTATTAATTTTTTATTTTTTTGGCTGATTAGGTTGTTTTTGAATGTTTTTAGTGGTGGTACATTTCTTTCTCTTGACCTGTTTGTAGTCCTATATAGCTTAGTAGAGGTAAAATGGTTTTAAAAGGATGAAAGGAACCTCTCCATGCAGCAGATTAAAGCTTACTTAGTTGGAGACCATGCAGTTAATGCAGAAGGGAAGGGGCTATATACAAATGATCTGCATGATATAAATCTCACTCTATTAGAAATTGTAATGAAGAAAATCCTCCTAGTAAACCAAATAAGTGGTAGAATAACTCACTACAACGTTTAGATGTTCACTGTTTTTCACTCAAACTTCAGGCAGTTTTCA